GATAGGCGCAGTGGAGTATTCATACATCTACTCAGGGTATAGATTCGGCAGATATTCTTTAAAACAAAAAAAAAAGTATTTTAATATTTTTTTAAATTGGATTTATAAATTTTCTTAATTTGTATAAAAAAATTATAAAGTTAAGTTAAACAAATTTTTTAAGTGAAATTGTCAAAATAATTTGTAATAACTTATGTTTAAAAACGAGAGTACAACAAAGAAATAATTAGCTGTAAGCATGTACAAATAATGCTTCCTATAATTAAAATCAAAACAGATGTAAGAAACAAATTTGAAAGTAATGATAAACTAAGTTTATCAATACAAGCTTTGTGTTATCAATAACACAGCAAATTAATTTTATTTCAGTACCCTACGGGCATTTGTTTTTCAAGGTTATGTTCTAAACATCTTTTAAACGTTTTTAAATGCCTTTTAAACGTTCTTTACGTAAGAATGTTTAGAAGACGTTTAAAAGACGTTTAAAATAATTTAGAATGTAACTTTTAAAAACAAATGCCCGCTGGGTACTTAGAGAGTAGTAAAGCATATAAATAGTATCAAAATCTGTTCGAACAAGATAATTTTCACTCGTAAAATTTTAAAATTTCAATATAGTTTATCTGGTGATGCAGATTTTATTTTCAATATTACTTAGAAAACGATCCTGAGTAAACGGCACAAGTTTATCTTGGTTAATTACTACATTACAGCCTTGTGGAATACAATTTCTGCGTAGATGCTCGTGACTCTTTGTGCCTTCATCTTGGTAGCCGTCAAAAATAACCGTGACGAATCCCTGGTAGTTTTTTTTTTTTATAAAACTTGAATAAACATCTGCTACATCATTGAATTTCATTCCTTTAAACCATCTAACTCTATGTAGCAATTCATCTCCATCTAAAACATAGTGGTTTGGAGTCTTGATATCTTCATATTTAACAGCATCTTAGTCGCACATTATTACTTTGCGAATGGATGTTTTATCTGGCTTTCTCATCGTGACTTGTTTAAAAAGTGACATAGGCTTATAAGTTAATTCATATTCAAATATAGATTCTAAATCATCTTTACGTGCTGCGACAGTTATTAGCCGGTTAAACATTATGCTTGGTTCTCCTATTGATTATTTACTACTTTTTACCTTTGCATGCAGTAACGAGTTCAATGCTATGATTTGATTTTTTCTTTTAATTTTTGCGCCTTCAAAAAATACATTATCCAACCCATTTTGAATACTTTTACCAACTTTTTCAGCTAGCTCACAGTTTACACCATCTTTAAAAGTAAATGATACCATATCAGTCGACAGTGAGTGGAGATTTTTGTCAGGAATACAGAATGGGTTTCGATCAACTAACCATTCATAGAACTTTTTACAATCTTTGTAATCTTGCTTTGTTCTTGACTTTCTGATTTCTTCATGTTGCTCACTCCCAATGGGCACCGGACCTAAAAAAGAGGTCTTTTGAACGTTCAAAAGACGTCCAAAACGTTCAAAAAACGTTCAAAATACGTCCAAAACGTTTATAAGACGTTTAAAAGACGTCTTTTTTACGTCCGTGCCCACTGGGCTGGATTTTTCCGAAACACTGTTAGTTGAATCATAACATATTTTTATACACACAATTCTGGCACATCAGAAAAAAACACGAAAGACTCTGAAAAATCAATTAAAATGCAATGTCTTTTTAAAATCAACTTTCAATATTTTCAAATATGTTGTTATTTTTATAGGCTAGGTTTTCATTTTTTATTACTTATTAATAATTAATTATTTTTTGAATGTATATCATTTATTTGTTAAATAACTAGCCACCCGTTCATTTTAAGACTTTAGTGTCATTTAAAATGTTGTTCCGCGTAAAAAATGCTTTAAAATGGTATATCATAAGTCTATATTTGAACACAGTTTTTTTTTACTTTTTAGCGCATGCGTCATTTTAAAATAGGGCCAAAAAAAAAGGGGTTTTCCTGTTGGAAATCATGGGGCATATTTTTTACGTGATCTATATACCTTAGGGAATCACTAGGCAAAGTTTTAGCTTTATAAATTTTTTTTTCCTCAAACAGTAGTTTTTGGAGTTTTACTCCTGGACTACAGAACTAAGTAATTTTATTTTTGCTTTTTAAAAGTATTTAATTTATAATAATGTTACATGATAACATAATATAAATTTATTTAAATTTGTTCTTTTTAATATTATTTAAAATCAATTGCTGTTAAAAGATAATTTTAAATTTTTTTGTTTACCAATTAGAAAATACAATAACCAGTATTTTGTTTAATTTAACTGCTATATCTAACAAACATGTGTTTTGCATGTATGATATTTTTAAATAGTACATTCAACGTAATTATACATGTTTGTAACTTTTTTTATCTACATCTTTACCCTTAGTTCTCCATAAAGGTGTGGTACGTTAAAAGTTATTCCATCAGGTGAATAGTTTACTATATTAAAACAATTATTTGGCAATTAAGACATTAATTTTTTTCTGATAGTTTAAAATGCTACAACGTTTTTAATCTGTTATCTACTTGTTAATTATAAAAACTTTTTATTTATAAAGAGTTAAACATTTAAGTTTTTGCTTTACATTTATGTTTTACAGAACTAGCTTACATGTTCCATATGAATCTACCAGCTCTAAAGTATTTGTTTTTTTTAACCTAAATTTTGAAAAGGGTGATTAAGAGGGCATCTAAAAAAGTAATTTTAAATTTCAAATAAACATCAACATGATTTTTTATTTTTGAAATTTCTTATGTTTTCATCCTTTAAAATCTTAAAAGTTATTTTTTTACCAAAGGTTTTGGTATTTTTTTACCAAAGGTTTTCATAGCCTTTTTCTTATAGTTTATTATGCTACAATGTTTTGTTTTTATTGCAGTACAAAGGCCAATCTAAATCAGCTTTTGCTTACAATTGCTTTTAGTTTGAGAATGTTCCATAAATACCAGTAAGCAATATTCTCAAAATTAAAAAGTTTTAGTAATGTATATAATTTATATATAGGAGCAATTAGGATAAAGTTCTAAAAAGCTATTTGGTAATATTATTTTTATATTTTTCTAGCTAAATGATAGAACTGAATGGGAACTTAGTCGCTTAGTTCCCATTCAGTTCTATCATTCAGCTAGAATAAAGATTAAACCAAGTTGACGATTAAATCAAGTTATTAATACTCTATTTATTTTATAAGGTAAATTATAAAACTGTTTTGAAAAATCTATCGTATAAGAATCGCAGCATAGTCAAATTTCATCATCTGTTTTATTGCTTATTACAATTGTTTCCTTTTTTATGCTTGTTTAAGTTATCAAAACCGTTCTTTATGTCTTATCAGAGTTATCAAAACCGTTAAAAAAACTACTTTTTCAAAACTTTTATTTTTCAAAAAAATATTTAAAAAAAAAAATGTTTGTTTTGATGTGTGAAATTTTGTAAAAGTATAAATTCTTTAATGTACAAAATTTGATAGAAATATCTTTTTATCAAAGATTATTTTTCTGACTATCATTAAATACGCTTTTTGACATTGGTTTTTATTTCAACAACCGCCTACAAGCCTCTTTTTGAAAACCAACCAACCAGATTGCGCATAATACTGCCTATTCTGAGCCTGTTTAGGGTTTCAAAATATGCCAACGGAAAGAACTGATTTGCAGGTTGAAACTAAATTCCAGTGAGCCAATCTAGGTTTCGTGTTTATTTTATAAATTCCTGACTCAAATATAATAAGTACGTTTTTAATAGTGTAAAGTTATAACAAATTTTGATATAATATATTAAAAATAACTATTTACTATAATAAACATATTAAATTATTTATCTATTGCAAATTATTATAAATTTAAATAATTCAGATCTTGATTTTACTATAAACACGAAACCTGGATTTGCTCACTGGAAAAATGTATTGACCTAATTTGCACATGGATGTTTTTTGCTGCACAACTCCCGCTTAATATTGTCTATCTGATAATAATGTGACTTATTAATAATATAACAAAGTAATATTAACAATTAAGATAATAATAGCAAATAAAATAATAATAACAATTAAAATAATAATAACAATTAAAATAATAATAACAATTAAAATAATAATATTAATTGCAGTAGAATCTAAGTACTTTTTTTTTAATTTATTTTACTGTTTAAAAGTAAAAACCAAAATATATGAAAATAAACTTAAAAAAAAAAACAGTATAAACTTTTCACTTAGCACTCTTTTATTATGTAAAATATAAAACATAAACTTTATTTAATATAATAAAATATAAAACATAAACTTTATTTAATAAAAAATTAAACAGACAAGGGGTAAAAGAAAAAGAAGCTGACATTATCTAATTACTACGTCTTACCCCCCCCCCCCCAATAATGTCCAGACAAAGTATTGTAATTTATAAAAACACTGATAATTGTTAAAGTATTGCGTTGATTAGGAAATCAAATAATAATAAAAAAAAAGATACCTAAAAAATATATTTAATAAGTATTTATATACTTAAACTACAAATTATATAATAATAAAACTGATATTATATTTAAATATTTATATATTTATAGATAAATTATATACTCTATTAATAGATAAAAACAGCTTCTGTTTTTGTAGTGCTCTACGTGCTTTTGCAGCGATCTTTGCGCGTAAGTTACATAACTCCGTTTAAATTACGTTAGATTAACATAATAGTTTCCATGTAATTTTGTTATACAGCCGCTGTTAACATGCTAAAATGTATATAGTATTGGGTAAATGGAAATAATAATAAAAAAATCAATATAATAATATTGAATTAGGTATTTTTAATAAAACAATTTACATTTTATCTAATTATTAGTTTTAAATATTTCTTTCATAATAACAAACAACTTGTGGCAATAAGTAATGAAATATTTATTATCATTTTAAATAGAATTAATTATTTAAAAGTGTTGAGCGTATAATATGTAACATTGTTTTATTAACAACAATATATATGACAATGTATTTTACTTTAAAACAAGTAATTGCAATTGTTGTTTATTTAGTTGAAAAAGATTAAACGCGATGTATTTTTTATGGATAATCATTTTGGTAAGACTTTGGAAAATTATATTTTAACAAGTTTAATTCCCTTTTTTGTAATAATACTATTGTAAATTAAAATAACTGTAACAGTTAAAATTAGACCAAAACATCAGTTTAAATAATGTAGCGTATAATTTATTTTAAAATTCTATTTTTTCAGTTAAACACAGCCTTATAAGAGTATTAAACTCTGGTACAAATTGGTCCGTTAAAAATAGCGTAAAAAATGGTCCGTAAAAAAATATTTATCCGTTTTTTAAAATCGCTTTTTTACATTTTTTACTTTGCCACTATAATAATCATGGTTTATACTTCTATATATTCGTATTGAATGAAATTTTTACATTTATAATATATAAAAAGTAATTAAGCAAATCTAGTCACTAAGACCCTTAAACTAAATAAACTATTTAACTCTTTTGCTATAAAATCAAATAAAAAGTGCTCGGAAAGAAAAACTTAAATATCAATAAAATGATAATTAACAAAACTAAGCACATTATTGCTATTTCTTTCTTTATCCTTTATATGCTTCATCTTATTTTTTATATTATTTTCAACTTTTTAATACTAATGATTTTATTTTATTTTATTTTTAGTATTAGTGAAATTATTTCCTGTCGCCATTTTTTTACCATTTAGAACTTCAATTGCTAAAAAAAAATTATAACCAAAAACGAACAACGTAAAACAAATAAATAAAATAAGATAGTACTGTTATTATAAAAGCATGTTATAATATAAAATTAAAATGATATTAATAATTCAAAAGAAATTAAAATGAAAACTAAAAGTAATTTAAAAAGCTTTAGAAAAAATACTCATTTATTGGTGTAGTATTTATAAGTGTGGGAGGTGTTTGGAATTCCAAAATTCTATATTTTTTACTTATCCAGGTATTTTTTTTTTTAAATTTTCGAGGAAAAGTTCAAAAACAAATTGAATTTTTTGCTTATTTTAAAATGGCTGGTCTTCTACTTCTATTTTTTAGCTTTAAAAGATATGAATTTTTTAAGATACAACATAAACTTAAATAGAAAAAACTTAGGAAGAGCTTCTTAAATCGGTTTCGCAAAGTTACGCAACTTTCTGCTAAAACTAAAGGGTATGCCCTTAAGGTGAGCCAGGTAAAAGGTATTTAAAAAACTTTTTCAAAAACTATTCTTTTTTAGCAAAAATTTGTTCTCGTTTATAAAAACTTTATGTTTAGTAGTTGTGCTGGATTTAGAGTAGGGCCTATGGTGTTCTTAAGGCCTCCTAAAACAATGACTTTTCAACAACCAATCCCTAAACCTCACCTCCCTCCTTTAATTTCATTTTATATGAATATATTTATTTTTAACTTTAAACTTATTTTTTGTTCCTTAATATTACAACTTTGTGATTAAACAATAAAGATTCGTAAACAGTAAATATATAAACAAAAAAAAAATCCCAAAGTGGTTTCACATAAATAATAAATAAACTTCTGTAACACTGTAAAAAGGACGCGAAAAGTTTGCAAAAGACTAATAATTTATATATTAATAATCTATATAAATAACCTTATGAATATTAACCTCTTTAGATTGTCATAAATGTTAAAAAAAAAAATTGCAAAAATATTACATAAAGTTAAGTTATATGGTCATAAAATGTAAGAAAACAAGTATGCAAATATATTTATCGTATATTTCTTTAAATATTTACACATTTATTGCAAATGCATTGTTCAAAATATATTATACTTTTTAAAAAATAAGGAATTATATAAAGAGCTTGCAGTGAATAAACTTAGAAAAAATCAGTAATTAAATATTTATACTTTATAGGACTATTTTTAATACATTTTCTTTAAAAGTAATTGAAGTTTTCAAAATTATAATATTTAGACTACGTGACCAGACCCGCCTCTTTTTTTAAGTCTATTCCACACCAACATTTTCTATACTTATTCCTTGTATATATACATATATATATATATATATATATATATATATATATATATATATATATATATATATATATATATATATATATATATATATATATATATATATATATATATATATATATATATATATATATATATATATATATATATATATATATATATATATATATATATATATATATATATATATATATATATATATATATATATATATATAATTATATTTAGATGAATAAAAACAACTGATTAGCGGGACTTAAAGTTTCATGCCCCAAGGCAATCATCAGCCGTTAATCTTTTAACGGCTGATGATTGCCTTCGGGCATGAAACTTTAAGTCCCGCTAATCAGTTGTTTTTTTCATCTAAATATTATTATATATAGCTCTATTATTCAGTAATATTGAGCACTGTAACACGTACAAGAGACTTCGTATTATTACATCAAAATACTTAACCTCGAATATATTCTATATATCGAAATCTATATATATATATATATATATATATATATATATATATATATATATATATATATATATATATATATATATATATATATATATATATATATATATATATATATATATATATATATATCCTAGCTGTTCGCTCTCGTAAAATACAAGTTTTTACCAAACCGACCATATCTATATGTTTCTATTCCACACTAATCATTTCTAAACTTATATTTTTTTATGTTTATATTTATTTATTTTTGTCAAGCAACCATTTACAATTAAAGGTAACTTCCGATAAAATATTTAAATATATTAAATATAAGTACATTTCATTATTTATTATAGTTACGAGACCGGAGAACCTGAAGAAGATAAAATCTTATCATCAGTAAACTTTGATAATAAAAATTGGAAATAAAAGTGTATTGCTAGAAAAAATCATGTAAAGAATCTTGATTAGCAATAAGTTCAATTATGTTCTTTTTAAATTTTTGACTTTTAGTTTACCATTCAAGCTTGTAAAATGGTTCCATAGCATTGGGCCACGATAGGATATGGCAAAGCTCGTAAGTTTTGATGTACGGAATGGTTTTTTAAATCTTCCGGTAGGTCGCGCGTTGTATCGGATTAATGTTTTATGGAAAATATTTTCGAAAACCTTCGGCGTTTTTTTTGACAGATGTTAAAACATAAATTGTGTACTTATTGTTATTTGCTTCAATATTTTATAGTAAAATAATTCATTCTTAAAAAGATTAACGTGCGCACCTTTAGGCATACATAGAACTTATAAGAGATTTATAAAATGGTTTGTTTTTCTCCTAAACGCATATCTTCGAAAGCTCAGTAGTTTGGTGCGCCGTCATCAGCGCCGCCAAGGACGGTTCATACCCTCCCCGAAGCGTAAAAGATTTTTAAGTTTTTTAATCTTGATGTATATATTTATAGCAAAAAAAATATAATTAGCAAAAAAGACTTTCTAATTGTTGAAATAAAATTTTAAAGTTTTCTCATATTTCACACTTATTACACGATCGTAACTCCCACAAACTCAACTTATGCTTAAGACGTTTACACTTACAAACGTTCGTAAGTAACGCTATATAAATGGGTGAGCTGAGATGGTGAATTGATTTTAGCAAACAGAAGTTATCAAAAGAAGGGCAAATCTAAAAAAAAATATTTTCCACTTGGCAATATGTTTCGTATGTGTTTTTTCGATCTTGTCAATTTTTCATATTTTCCACTTCAATGAGACAATATGTTTTTTATAGGGAAAACTAGGGTAATGGCGAACGGAGGGTAACTCCGAACATGGTCAAAACAGCATTGTAGAAAAATAAATTTGACAATTTCTTTTTACATGCTGAAAAGGGATCCTATGCTCATTCCCAGACGTGAAGTAGTGTAATGTAGCTGCGGATGTTGTTTACTATAATATGATTTTAACTATCTCTGATAATTTTATGCAAATTTTTTCTTGAGTAACATTTTGTTGTAGCTTATATGGAAATAAAACTACTCCATTTTTTTGTTGTTGTTGTATATTATAATTTTTGGACTTGTTTTTATTTATTTAGTTATTTCAATTAGCTTTTTATTCGTTATTACACAACAGTGTTTGTGATTGCCCTCCGATGTGTTTGGAATTACCCCACGTACGTAGGGTAATTCCAAACACCAATGGTTTTATTTTTGCCATTAATTTTTATTTTATAATAAGATTTATAAAAATTGCTTTTGAGGGTTTGTGAATAAATAATTAAAATAATTGATAAGCTTTAAGTATGATCAATTTTGTATAACTGGTGTCTTAATTCGCATTACCGCTTAGGTGTTCGCCAATACCTAACTCTCCCCAATATTTCAATATGTATGTGTTTTTTCAATCTTGTCAATTTTTTTAAATACAATAGCATAAATTCAAAAACTCAAAACAAAACAGTTTCAGCAAAAAGGAGCTGTAATTAAAAGTTTTCTTATATTACACGCGGTCGCTTGAAAAGGGTTGATTATTTGCAATCGCTATAACAGATTTATTAAATTGTTTGTTTTTCTATGACATGAGTTGCTTCGATAGCATAGTGGTTCGCTACCCTACCATTAATGTCGTTTTGCGAGGGTTCAAATCCGCCCCTTAACACAATTCATTTTGAATTTTTTCAATTTTGCTATATATATTTAGAGCAAAAAAAGAAATAAAGCAAAAAAAGACTTTTAATTGTTAAAATAAAGTTTTTGCTAACAACGGGCTTTTTTTTTTAATTTTTTTGCCTCCACAACAGCACCTTCTGGAGTTACAAAGCGGGCTTATTAATTTTTTAATTTATTGAGATTATTTTTTTAAAGACCATCCGCAACCTAATATGACTAATTCCTGAGCATATTGATAACATTAGTATATAATATCTCTAACATGACAGTATCTCATAAATGGTATCTCTACAATGACATACTATCGCAACAAACTTCTCTCAGTGTTTTGATGTTTTTAGAAATTTAAAACTTTTTAGAAAATTATCTCCCTTTCGTTTGTTGTAATAAATAAAACCCTTATATGTGATATTTAATTAATGAGTTTTTTTTTGGTATTTTAAAAAATTAAAAAAGATTT